GACATCGATGTTTAGTTTGATGATTTCATTTTTATGGAAACAATAATACCTTTCAAAACACAGCATTCAAGGAACCATTAACACCCTGAACTAAGAAATTTGAAAATAAATGATTATCTCAGCTTTTGTTACAATGACGATGTTACTTATGGAGAAATAATATTGTGTGTTATTGTATCATAGGACCTTTACCACGAACACAGAAGGCTCTGAGAGTGGTGATGTTCTTTATACTTCTAGCAACAGGGCTCTTAGTGATGAACATCCATGCACATATCAAGCATGTAACATATAGCAAAAAAGCGCTCTTCGAAATTAGGCATTTTCAAATATGGTGGTTCATCATGGCGTCATTTCCCCTGGTAACAAAGTTACAGTGTACAAACACCATTTTTTTTAGGTAGCAAAAAAGGGGCGTTGGTCCAAAGGGCTCATCGGCCCTTTGGTATAAAAAAAACCTTCCCAAGCGCTTCGGGATGCCAGTGAAAGCGCCTCAGAAGGCCAAAGAGCAACAAGCTGATTGGAAGGAAATAGCCAATAGTATAATAAAAGTAGTGCAGCAATGAATGGGACCGTTTACGATGAAATGATGATTCAGAAAATTTAAAAAAAAGTTGGTGGAGAATCCCAGTGAGCAAAGCAGCACCACACAGCCCCCCCCTTAAAAAGCGTACAAAAAAAATGTTGACGTTCACGAAGGTGGTTCTAACGATCGAGTTTTTTTTTTTGGGGGGGGGGCAGCAACAGTCCTTAAACCCCCCCCCCCCCCGGGCGTACGGTTGTTGAAAATGTTGAAAATTGTGAACCACCCTTTAGTGATTTCATGGAGCGTGCTTGAGTAATATATAAAAGTCAGAATTGATTGGAATCTATTTCAGCATTATGGCGGGGACGCAAGAGATCAAAGACATCAAGTCAGAGATAAGAAATAGCAAAACAATTTTGCAAGGTGAGTCGATTAAGCTCGGAAGTGTTTGACAAATTCTAAAACTAATACATAAGAAAGATTAAAAAAAAAAAAAAAAAAAAAAAAAAAAAAAAAAAAAAAAACGTAGGCATGTGTGAACGTGTGGCTTCTAAATTAGTTAGAAATCGACCAGAAATTAATTAAAACCTTTCAGTGCATTTGTAATTAACCAAAAGTCGGTGTCCAGATGTAGTGTACTCAACCTATATTTACCATAGTGTCTACACCCTACATCCACGGTACACTCACAACACACTAGCCGAACATTTTCTTTGCATTTTGGTAAATTATTTTAATTCGTGCTCAGTTTCTCGGGAGAATATGCCAGCATAAATTAATGGCAAATCGCGTCGCTGTACTAAGCAAACAATTAATTAAAGAGCCGAAAACTAATGACAATACAAAAACAGACACTTTAGTTGCACATGAAGAAGGGACAGAAAAAAACGGCGCCAGAGATTGGTTAAGCTTTTGGGTTGAAGTGCATTGATTATTCATTGCTTTTTTGTAAATGGTCAAGGCTTTACTAAACGCGGTAATTAGTAGCAGCCATCTGTGGCTTTAATGAAACACCCGCAAGAATTAGCACAGGTGTTTTTGAATTTTGAATTGTTGGGTTTGCTTATGTGATTGTTGGTGTTCCTTTATTCGTAAGTACTCGAAGTTTCTTTATTCAAAAGCGAAGCAGAGGAAAAAGTCAGAACACTTAGGGTGCTGTGCTGGGTTCCGGTGGCGGCCAAGAACCAACACGTCGGCCGGCGCGCGTTGTCATGGAAACCTGGGGAGGCGTTGCGACGGACTCGTCTTCATGAGTTAGTCAGAACGGTAAGAGGAGACTCGGAAGGCGTGCCACGTAAGTGATGAGTTACGTGTTTAGATAACTAAATGATCGCAAATGATATGCACACACACACACATATATGTATATATAGATGGATATAGATTTATATTATATATATATATATATA